ATTTTAATTTTAGGTCGAAATTGAATATATTTGGATCAAATTTAAAAATCTCATTTTAAAAATTCAAATCCAATATTTCAAAATTGTAAAATTGAACCTGAATTTAAAATTATGAAATGGCCTCAAAATTTGGAAATTACATAATAGGTCCTTATCCTCAAATTACAAAATGGCCATTTGCTTTAATTGTAGGCAAGCCCCAAAAAATCAAAAATTGCAATGAGACCCCGTCCCCAATTTTAACTGTATTCAATTAATTATCCCCAAATTGCAGGAAAAAACTATAGGTAACAAAAAGCCGATGCCATCGAACCATGCAACACCAGAACTCCAACAAATCACACTCACATTTGTTTGAATTCCTCCAATTCTATTTTAAACTTGAATTCCATGTGGACAAATATTAACTCCAATCCAACGCAAAATTCAAATAACTACGCAAATAGTTGACCTCAAATATTTTGTACTTTATTGTCAACAAATTAACAAAACTTTCAAACATTTAGAAATTAGTCGATCCTGCCTAAAATCAAACTCAACAAGCAACACTAAATACAACGTGAATTTTGACGAAGTGGAGTTATTATTATTATTATTTGTTTAAATGATTCTAATCTTAGCATGCATCTCTGATACTAATTATTGTAATTATTCAATAATCATGCTAAGAACAAGAACTAAATATTCTGAATTAATAGTTTCAAATTCACATATGCGGAAGACATTTTTATGTATGAATATTACCAGTTAGATCCTCATTCTCCTTGCTCTTCAAAAATAATCAGCCGTTAATGAGGCAGGTCAAAACGATATGGAGAGGAGATGAGACCTAACCATTATATAGGAAATTATAAAGTCGACTCATTACCAACTCAACCCTAATTAGGGTTTACATAATTTCGATCCATATACTTAAAATGATCACATTATAATAATATAGTTCGTAAGGTGTACAGCGGTCCAAGTGATCACTAACATATTTGGCATAATTACGGTATCATTGCAAACCATACATCTAACCCGTAAAATTCGAAATCAAATGGAAGTCGACATGATATAATTATTCTAACACAACATAGATACGTAACTCTTTCTTTCAATTTTAATTTTTTTTAAAGATATTTCAATGAACAAACAGTTACTTTTGACTTTTAGCATAGCTGGATAAATTTCGACGACCAATTATAGAGTACATGCGGATTTTAGTGACTATACGCACTAAACTTCCTTGACTTGTAGTTATAATAAGAAATAAATTACTATAATAATTAATGGAGACACCTACAATATTTAGCTCCTGTTTGGTTTCGATTAAAATTTAATTAAAACTTCAATTCAAAAATCAACAATTAATTTTAACTACATATTTTATTAGATCTACAACTTTTCAACCTCATATTTCATCAAACTTTTATTAAAATTTACTAAAAACAGGGGGTTAATAGGTGTCGGGCCGCGCTACTTTGGGGAAATAATTGATTTTTTTGGTTCAATCACTTGGGACCCATGATGTTTATATAATGGTAAAAAAATGGTTTAAATATATAATCTTCAAATATTGAAAAGGGTGGTTATATTAGCAAAGCATTTTTTTTTGTTTTTGTTACAATACATTTTAATTGTAGTTTAGCTCATTAATCTTTGCTCGTTATAATTATTATTTTCTTTATTTTTTTGGTCAAATTATTATCTTCAATATTCCATTAAATAGTATATCTTATCCTTGATGATGATTTATATCAAAATATTTTATTTTCATGATTTAAAATGTGGAAAAAATATTTTTCGTACTTTTTTTATTTTTTAAAAATATAATGGAAAAATAAATTGTTATACACTATTTTAGCAGACGTTTTCGACATAAACTGTTATAAAAAACAAAATGTGTTAATTAATGAAAAGTTCGAGGATAAGATCAATATCATGAAATTAGGGATATAAATGTTATAATGAGTAAACATTGAGAACTAAAAGTGTATTTTGCCTTTCCAATAGTGCTATATATGAATGGAGAGAGGCAAAAAAGTAATTATGCAAAAATAATTCTATAGTAAATTTGATATTTTGTTAAAAAAGAAAGAAAGAAAGAAATTTAGGCCTATATCCTACTACCCTACTCAAACGTTCTTATTCAAGGCTTAGATTTTTTTTAATTCAAAAAATTCACTAAAACTTATCGAAATCAGATAAATTTTACTAAAAGCTCTACTAGATGGCGCTAATGTTTTACAATAGTTAATAAGAGTCTTTAATGACTAGTAACAGCGCAATGTCTGCACTTACGTCATACTACATTATGAGAATCAAACAAGCACATTTTAAAATTCGTCTCAATTCAGGCTTCTAGATTCAATTTCGTCATAGTGTTCAAAGTCAAATGCATACGGATGTGGTTGTCACATACTAATGATTATCCTACGTTGTTATAAAAAAATAACCTAGAAGAAGTGATGCGATTGAAGAATTTATTTTATGCGTGTGAACTGAAAATAACACAATCTGTAAGTTTTTCGACTGTACAACTTCTTCATGTTATTGTTTTACGACCAAGTAGGATGGACATTAGTATTTAATGGTTACGTCAGTGTCTATTGTTAGACAATGTGATGTAATTAAATGAAGTGATCTAAATTGAGACAACTTTAATAGGCAAGGACCCAATTATTACAAAATTAAATTAGTGACCCAATTAGCACAAACAATTAAAAATTATGTTAAAAGTACAATCACTGAGAATAAAATTAACTCTCAACCACCCAAAGCGAATGCATGTGAATATTTGATTTCTAGATGTATTTTGATTTCTAATTAGCCTCGAAATTATTGTCCTTCATTGTTTATATTCATTATACACAAGGTAAATTTACCAAAATGTATAAGATTTTAGTGTTTTCCAGTTGTGATTGAACGATATGTCAAATATAATACGTTGTTTTCATTATATGAAAGTTAGTAATAATAAAAATTATTCGCTAAATAAATTCTTAATTTTTTTTT